TAATAGTCATGTCCTCCAAAGGCTATGCATTAAAGACTTGGCCACAGTCTGTCTCAGAGGCAGTAAAACCTATAAGAGGTGGGGCCTAGTGGGAGGAATTTAGGTTATTGGGGGCAGGTCTTAGAAGGAACTATTGAAACTTTAGCTTACCTTCTTCTTTGCTTCCTGGCTACCATGAGGTGAATCTCTTCACCTTGCCATGTGCTTCTTATGCATGATGTGCTGCCTTGACCCAGGCCCCAACACATGGAGCCAACTAACCCTGGACTCTGAAGCTATTTATCAAAATAAAAATATTCTTCTTTTAAACTGCTTATCCTAGATATTTTATCACAGTAACAGAAAACTGAACAATATCCCCACCCCTTTCTTGAGATTTCCTGATAGAATGGTTTATGCAGTTGGCTTCAATATCTATAGAGTGAGGGAAATTGCTTCTTTATAAAAGAGTAAACTAATTATGTGACCTTACATCTTTAGTCCTTTTCTAGACTTTAATTTTCACACCTATAAAAGAAGAGAATTGGGGCTGGGAAGGTGGCTCAGTGGTAGAGCACTTGCTTTGCACACATGAGGCCTTGAGTTCGATCCCTCAGCACCACATAAGCAGAAAAAAAAAGCCGGAAGTGGTGCTGTGGCTCAAGTGGTAGAGCAATAGCCTTGAGCTGAAGAGCTTAGGGACAGCGCCTAGGCCCAGAGTTAAGGCCCACGACCAGACCCCCCCCCAAAAAGAAGAGAATTATTTTATAAGACTATGTGAGAGTAAATTTTTTAAAAAAATTTTATTGTAAAGGTGTTGTACAAAGGAGTTACAGTCACATAAGTAAGGCAATGAGTAAACTTCTTGTCAAACTTGTTCTACTCCTACTTTCTCTCCCCTCAGCTGCTCCCCCGCTAAGTTGTAAAGTTCATCTCTAACATAGTGTTTTGGAAGTATCCCTGTTGCATTGGTTCACCTTTTGCCCTTTGTCTCACCATTTTGTTGTTCCCCTTCCCTTCTCTAAATCAGATAAAGATATTTACAAGACACAGGGTACAAAATAAAAAACAATGACAACAGGGGATAAACCAAAGGGCAAAAAATAAAAGAAAAAAATAACTTCACACAATATATTAAAAAATTTAAAACCCTCATTTTCATATCTTGGAGTTCATTTTGATTAGTATCATTTTATACGGTCATATGTACATAGCTATTTGAGCTATTGTAATTGTCTGCTAGGATGGCCCTAGACATATACTAATTATTACAAATGAGGGAAACCATGGATCCTATGTTTCTTTGGGTCTGGCTTACTTCACTTATCATGTTTTTTTCCAAGTTTCCATTTCCTTACGAATGGGGCAATGTCATTCTTTCTGATAGAGGCATAGAATTCCGTTGTGTATATATACCACATTTTCTTGATCCATTCATCTACTGAGGGGCATCTGGGTTGGTTCCATAGCTTAGCTATTCATTGAACTTACAGGTTCTTTTCCCCCTGCTCTGTCACACTTCCGAATACGATTCATATTCCAAAGCTCAGTGCATATACATGTCCCCATGAAACTCCTCATGTCCTCACTCCTGTCCCCATGGGACAGCACCAGAGCTTAGATGTACCGCACCAGTAATAGTTAAATGTTAAGAATTGTCATCTATCAAATGCCAAGTCTGTGCCAGGCTCTTTCCATAGCTTCTTTCAATCCTAGCACACCCTTTCCAGAAAGGCCTGCACCACTTACACTTTGAAGATTTAAGAAAAAGTAACTTGCCCCAATCCCAAAGAGGTAATAAGTAGAGGCTGAATTTGAACTCAAGTCCTTGACTCTGTATCCTGCTCTACCTCATGGGCCGGCCATTGTCTCATATTTGTCTCTCTTATTAAGTGCCAAGACTGTTGAAGACAAGACTTATGCCTGAGTCTTAACATACTCAATTAGGAGCTGTTTAAAATAATCCCTTAAGTATATCAAACAGAACACAGTAAGTTGGGTGCTGATGACTTAAGGATCATGTTCAAAGCCAGCCCAAGGGAAAAAAAAACGTCTGTGTAACTCTTATCTACAAATAACCAGTAAATAAATAACAGGGCCAAGGATAATCCATCCTTGTCCAGAAGAGACTGGACAAACTAAGATATAGACAATGGAAAGAGATGTTATATTTAGGGAATTAGAGGTAGGTTTTGAAACAAATGGTTCATAACTATCCCAAGGTTTAATATAACTACGAGATTGTTTAACTCATTGGAAAGATTTTTAAGTTTCTTAACTATTTTTATATTCTAGAATTTCTAAGTCCTTTTTGAACTCTGCCTGCTTTTCTAACATGTTATGCCATATTCTCTCTATGATTTCTCTGTCTTCTCTCTCAAGTTATCCTGCTGTTTTTAGTTCCTATCATATGGATTCTTCAATGTGCTTTGCCAGCTAACTACTGTTAATGGTGACTTCTGCGCCACCACATGCATGCATGCATGTATGTATACATACATTATGAAGGTGTGGGAATGCATGTGTATATGATATATACATACATATTACATATACATGCATGTAAACTTCTATGTGTATATACATGCGTATGTGTACATATATACATACATACTTAACATTAGTAGGAATTTTCCTTTTTTAATGTGGGAGACCCTCATGCACTGGGATTTGAGGCATTTTCATGAAGTGGTTTTATATTTATGGCGGTCAGGTTCTCAGAGTTTAACTCTAAAAATTAGCATTTCCCTGCAATTAGAGAAAATGTCCCCTGAGAGCTTATCATTTCAAGAGACCAGAAGGCTTTGATATTCATTTAGATGTTTGTGTTTTCAATCAAGTTCTGAGTTCAGGAAGGAGAGGAACTCTTTCCTAACAAATCTTATAGATTCTAGCTCTTCACAGTATCTAGCCCAGGATAAGAATCAGTAAGAATTGGATCAATAAATGAATGAATTAGATGGCTTACTCTGTGATTTGAAATGGGAATTAGAGATCACAATCAAATCATCATCTATAAAAAGATGATGTTAATAATCCCTGAGAAACTACCACACTCTGTGGAATGCTAACCAAACAAAGGAGCATGGTGCAATCCTGCCCTCTGGCCAGCAAGCTCACTATTACTGACATCACTTCCTTCTTAAGGGTGAATGCTGCTAAGTACAGCACTGGTAGAAATTCCAAATCCAGCAGACTCAGGTCCGACCAGTAGCTTTGTCACCTTTCTAAACGCATAATCAATGCTCTTCTGTACCAATCACCAGAGGCTGATCACTGATAGGCAGTTAATAGTGATATTATTTTGTTGGTAACAAAAGTGTTTGCACAATAACTGTACATACTGAAAGCACCTAGCATGGTGCCTGGCACAAAACAGACACTAACATTTATTGCACTTCATTTCCTTCTTACCATGTAGGAAAAATTCCATAAAATATTACTGGAGAGCTACTGCTTTCTAGGAATTGTGCTTGATACCTGGGATAGAAAAGACTACTGTGCAATCCCTTGTTTTAATCAGTATATCCAGATTAAATTCAACAGTGGCAAAAATGACAATAAATGTCCTATGATTTAAAATGCCCAAATGAAAGGATAGCCAGCAAAATAAACTGCATCTAGTATTATCTTATAAAATATTCTTTCCTCAGACACAAATACAACTGCAAGTGGATCTGTTAGCAATTAAAAGGACTTTAAAACTTCTATTTTAAATCATTGAATGCCAGAACTCAAAGTCATGCTTGAACTGAAGTAGAAACTCAGTAAGTTTGTCCAGATTAGAAATGATGCCTCCATGCTTATGTGTTTAAATATGAGGAGTAGATCTCTTACTAGGTAACGTGTGGCTCATTATCCCACATGTCCTAACAGGGTTATCTTTATGAACCAGGGTCTGTGTTAGATTGTGTGATGGCAATGGAGAAAAAGGAAGTCAAGACCTACAAAGTTTTACCTTCAAGGAACTTTGAAGCTTAAGCATGGACACAGCGAGAATGGTGAAAAGGGGGACACTGATCACGATACACTGTGTTCCTAAACTGCTTGGTTAAACGGCACGTCCTTTGTATAACTACATGAAGGTAATGAAAAATAAAGCAGAAACAAGAATGAATAGGTATTGAACTTCCCATGTTATAACATAAAAACTATCAAGAAAAGGCATATAAAAGAACTCTAGAAGCTCCCAAGAGATAAAGACCACTTCCTGCAGAGAAAGAGAGAGGAGCCTGTGGACAATATAGAATTCATACTCAGTCTTGACAGAGAAGCTGGGCATAGGCAAAGAACAAAGGGTAATCCATAAAGAAAAAAATAGCATTACAATAAGAAATAAAAATTTGGCGAGTGATATACATGAGAAAACTAAAACTACTACTACTACTAAGGCTTGAAAGGCAAGTTGAGCTAGACCACAGTGGTTTTGAATGTGTCCAGGCCACAGTATCACTGTAGAATAGCCAAAGTTTAGCACATGGCAGGGCTTAATTAATGCTAAGTAACAACTCCATAGTGGGGACCTGTTTTCCACATTCGAAGCCACCATCTGCAGGCACAGGCAATCTCAAATACCCAAATACTCCAACCTGAACCCAGCAAACACATCAAATGTTCATCTTATAAGGTCATCCCACAAACAGCTCTGATCAATCCTGGCTCAGGCTGAATCAAATCTTCTACGTAAGATCCAGTGGATGTAGTGTCAGGAAGGTCAGCAGCAACCCTATTTCACATCTTGAATCATTTTCACCATGTGGAACATTTTAGAGGAAGATGGGAAAGGAAAGCAAAAAAAAAATCCTCTCCAGAAATAATAGAATTCTAAGTAATTAAATGTTAAATGATTACAGAGTAAGCTGGGAATTTATTTTGGCCACCATCTCCTTCTGGTGACCTGAAAATGTAGTTGATTTCAAAGATGAAACTGCTAAGATTAAAAATGTGAACTTGACACATCTCTCCTTGCTCCCACAGTGAATGCATATATAACCCAGCCCCCAACTCCTGCAGTCATGTACCTTTGTCCAGCTCACTTGAAATGTTCCATGATGAGGTAGGCGCTAACTCAGCAGTGACTGAAAACTCTGTTTCTGGAAAGAGAAAGAAGGGAGGGGGAAGACAAGGATGATATTAAATACAATATAGTAACAGGATTGTTACAGGAGACTTGCAAAATGTCTGCCTTCAGAGAGAGACCAGCCAATTCAGGACTAATTAAACTGGAATGGCCTAGTAACCACTCAGAGCTGCTTATACTTTTGAGACCCTCCAAATGAACAAATGATAAGCCAGATCAGAAGACCCTTACTTGAAAACTCTAGCTTTGAAAGTTGAAATTGAAAATAATAAGACACTGATCAAGATACATTGTATGCATAAACTGCTTTGTTAAATGGCAACTCCTTTGTGCGACTGTTTAAAGATAATAATAAGAAGGAATGCGAATATTTGAACACAAAAACAAAGCAACAGAAGTGATAACACATTAGCAACCACATGGTCTTCTTTTTCTTGATATATCCAGTAGTCTTCCCATGGAAAAGATGAACCAAGTTTCCTTGGCTGCTTTTAAATCTGTCCTGTTTGCAAATTGGCAAGAACTAATTTCTCCATGTTGGCACGTCAGGTCAAGATAAATAAACTAAGTATTTCAACACAGAGAACCATTTGAGGAAACTAACCTTAAAATTAAATGATCATTTTCAAAATCACCGCAATTTAAGCCAATGTAGAAATTAATGATCCAAAACACACAAAACATTGTGAAGATTTAAGGGTTTTCAATAGACGGTCATATACAAATGATGTTTTTGCTGTTGTCTTTAAAAATTTAAACCATGACATTGTATACATTTTAATATAATTATCACCTCTTTAGGGTATCCCTAAACTAAGCACACACACACACACACACACACACACACACACACACACACAATAGAACTTTAGAACATTAGTGACAGAGTGAATCAGAGAGGACCCAGGTGATCAGTTCCATGACACACAGATGTCACCCTTCTCCACTCCTTCAATCAAGTGAAAGCATCATGCACCTCTTATGGCTCTTTTCACCTATTAAAAGCCTGGTATCTGCTGTTGAGGCTTTTCAACACAATGCTTTCTAGAAGTCACTAAAAGTGCATCTGAGTTGGAATCTAGGTTTAACTTCAGTAAGGAAAGAACTTGGAATTCACATCTGGGTCTATGTACGTGGCCACCAGCACACAATGCAGCAGCTCTTGCTATCCTGTCTTATATTCAAAGTGGGAAAATTAGATTTCTTTTCCACCTCACCTCTGACATCACAAACATAAGCATACTTCCTATATGTCCTTATTTACTGATGACGTCTGACTGCCAAATGCCCATACACACCCCATATCCTTGTCTTTGCCAGGAACATATGTTCACCCACTGAGAATGTAAGGGCCACTTCCAGTCTGTCTACCTGCCATATTTGGCAGAGACAAAAGGGTTATTCAGAGTCTTCTGACTCCTGGGTATATCTGTTTCCCTGTTCTAGAAACAGATGGGAAGGAAAGTAGACAAATGACACACACTCTTCCATCCCCAGAAGTCCCAGACTCTTCTTTTATCTGGAGTCAAAGACAGCATAGATTGTTAGTAGGGGGGTCCTGAAAATACTTACTACAAGTAAAAGAGCACTTAATCCTAAGCCACAGTAAAAGACAGTGCTTTTAACAAGCCCCAGTCATATAGACAAGTATTTTACTCTGGTGACTGAGGTCTATACTTGTGGGGCTTGTCACATGTAACTCCGCTGCATCTCTGCCTGACTCCCTTTCTGCTGCCAACCACTCTGGCTCCTTCCATCACGACAGTCCTTGCTCATAGACTATGATGGCTCCCCACTGTAAGAAGCACTCCACAGCTGGGTGGTGGTAGCTCACACCTGTAATTCTAGGAGGTGAAGATCTCAGGATGGAGGTTCTGTCAGGCTGGGTTAGAACATACATGAGACTCTTACTCTGATTAACCAGCAAAAAACTAGACATGGAGCTGTGACTCAAGCAGTAGAGATCCAGCTTGAGCTTATGATGCTAAAGAACAGTGTCCAAGCCTCAAGTTTAAACCTTGGTGCTGACATGAAAGAAAGAAGCAGCAGCATTCCACCACCCAGACTTGAGGGAGCTGGGACCCAGAAGCACAGCAGAACAGGTGATATATTGGGTAAGAAGGAGAAGGCAGCGGGAGCAGTAGGATTAAGATAGACCTTGACAGCATTTCGTTCAGTATTTTCATAGCTTCATTTTACTGCAGCTCATAGCTACACAAAAATGCAGGTTTCATTTTACAGTATTCACTTCAGAGAAAGTTAGCTATAGGTTATGTGGTTTTCCCAACCTGAATTTGAATTGTTGAATATAATTTGGGATGGATGACAAATGATTAGATCTTGGCACTGCTCACATGGAAATTGTTCCCCATGTGTCCCTGGACACTAATTACCACTCAGTTCTTGGGCAAAGGCAAAGATAATTTCAATATGCAAACTCATTAACTGATGGTGCTGATTTTGAGGAATTTTGTTCTGGGCCTCAATATTCATTCTTTCAGATAACCACATGTTTAGCCTCTAGGGTAAAATGATCATACAGATAAAATATTTTAAAGTATGGATAATAACCTCTCTGAAAAGTGTTATTTTCCCTTGCTTGCTTGCTTCCTTCCTTCTACCCTTCCTTCCTTCCTTCCTTCCTCCCTCCCTCCCTCCCTCCCTCCCTCTCCCTCTCCCTCTCTCTCTGTCTCTCTCTCTCACTATGTCTCTCTCTGGCTTTCTTTTTTTTAATGGTAGTGGGGGTTTAACTCAGGTCCTCATGACTTATTAGGCAAGCACTCTACTCCTTGAGCCTTAATCTCGGTATTTTGCTTTTAGTTTGCTTTTCAGATAGAGTGTCATGCTTACGCCCAGCAGATCTCAGATTGCAATTCCCCTACCTCAGCCTCCCAAGTAGTAGCTGAGTTTTCAAACAAAGACTATATAGTGGAAAGAAATAGATAGCTAAATTAAGTGATCAATCTCTGCCATTTATGAAGTGTGTGATGACGACATCTTTTAACTTTTGTTGTTTTATCTCTAAAATGAGGCAATAAAGGCCAACCTGACAGACTACAACACTGTTCTGATGTGATCATTTGAACAAAAGCATCTTGTATGATGCCTGGTCTGTTTCCTCCTCCACCTAGTGAGGCAGAGCGAAGCCACACTCCGCATGGTTAGGCGCTGTGTCTCTGTTTGAAATAATGCAATTGCCATGCTTTCTTCAAACAAACAAACAAAAAACTATTTCACTTGCTCCCTAATCCAAGCCAATCTTTTCATTTTATGAGAGTTTCCTGAATTGGTCACCAATCCTCTAGGAACTTAAGTGTTTATATGTGGTTTTATCCAATTTAAGTAAATCTAGTATGGTTTAGAAAACGTTGGCCCTTGTCACTCTCAGCCTCTGTAGGAGAGCAAACTTCCAAAGCTGTTCTTCACATTTGATCAATAGGAGCTATTATCTTTGAAGTTTTTCTGATGATTGACTTCTTGGAACTGACTCTGCAAACCATAAGGTTTTGATATTTAAGACAGAACAGTGAGAGTGGTATTTGGAAGGAAAGAGGCGGGATAAAGTCATGAATCTTCTTCATTGATGAAAGTCTGTGCTAGAATAGGATTACTGGCTCATCTCAGCTGTTGGCAGGTTAGCTGGACCTGGAAGCTCTTCCAAGAAGCACCTAGTCATGGCACGTCCACATCCTGTATCTCTAATGCAGTGATACAGGAGGTCACAGGGTACATTCATGAGATGAGTGGTAGGGCACTGGCCCCAAAAGCTGGGTGCAACAGAAGCAAGCAACTATTCCACCAGAGTCACTGAGTCCTAGAAACACGTATTTGGGTGAGTCCTGACACTCTGAACGGGTTTAGCAAACTATGCTCTTTAAATCCAGGGGATTTCCATAGAGGTATCATTATAAGCACATGGTAGAGGAATTATGGATGTAAAAGAGAAGAGAGCATGGCTTTAAAGCCTCCTTCAACAGGATCAACTCCACTAGTAAAATCTCCACAACTGTGGTAAAAATGCTCCATTCTCCTCAATTCATAGATGTAGAGTAGGCTCACAACAGTCAAACACAAAAGTGTTGTTGTTTTTTTTTTTGTCAAAATCCTAATCATTCTAAGATAGAAATTGGCTTAGGAAAGAAGAGATGCCAACTTCTCACTGCGTTGTTTCCTCTGTCCATAACTCTAAGATGTGATCTTATTCCCAAAGCCAAGTTGTGGGAGACAATCAAGGAATTTCCAAGCAGCCAGGGTGGAGCACATAAAAGGGGTATATAGCTTTCTATAGTGTGTCAACTTTGGAGGAACTAACAAAAGAGGGCAGGAGTATGGATGATTTCTAGTCCACAGAGCTATTTCTAGCCCAGGGCATCTAGTTTTCTCCTTTGAACAAAACAGGATTTTATTTTTTTTACAGGTGAACAATGAGCTGAGAGAAGGACTCCTATCACCACAATAGATGTTCTACAGTGATCTGGCTTCATCTGTCCTAATCACGTATCTGGATTGGTCTCAAAAGACATTTATTTGTTATTTATTTATTTATTTTTCTTTTTGACTGGCTGGCTTGCTTGCTTATTTATTTATTTATTTTTATTGTTGTCTTGGGGCTGTACCTTACCTTCCGCTCAAAGGCTAGGGCTCTACCACCTAAGCCACAGTTCCACTTCTGGCTCTTTGTTGGTTAATTGGAAATAAGGATCTCACAACCTTTCCTGCCCTCACTGGCTCTGAAACACATTCCTCATAACTCAGCCTCCTATGTAGCTGGTGCCCAGCTTTTTTTGGCTTTCTATCTCTCTAGCAATGCAAATATCTGCTGGGAACAAACAGTTACTCTAACATACTTAGATTCTAAATGTTTAGACCCTTTCTTTCTGTTTTGCCCTTTGCTCCTAAAAGAGAGAAAATAATTTCTTGTTCAACATGGTACCACAGAAAGATTAAATGATTTCAACTCTAGTCTGCTTACATAGATATCAGATATGAAACACAATATATAAAGCAGCTT